GTGTGTGTACACACACCACCTCTTCTTTATCCATTCATCAGTTGATAGACATTTGGGCTGCTTCCATAATTTGGCTATTGTAAGACATGTCTGTCTTATGTCAATGGGATGGATTGTTTTTTCCTTCAATATGGTCTCAGCATTTTATTTTTTCACAAAATTTCCTATAATCTTCAAAGTAACATTTTGTGGTTAGTAAATTTGAAATTATTGACACCTTCAATCTACTCTTCATTGTAGGCCATAATATTTTTAATTGGGAAAATATCCTGTCCACAGGTGTTGAGCTACCTAGTCAGCTCAGGACAAATGAGGGATACTCTCAATGCTGATTTTTTGGTATTAAAATATGAAAATCTTACAGCCCCCAAATTTTACCAGGGACTTCCTTTTTGCCTCCTTTCAGAGTAACTTTTTCAATAAATATTTTCATAAAACTAAAATCATCAAGTAAATTGTCTTTATGATTCTTTTGAATGCTTCACTAAACTTAGATGCTGCAAAATTATAGGCTTTTCCAGTTTCCTGCTCTTCTGGGATACAATGTAATTTTTTTCTAATTAAAAATAGGGATTACATCAAAAGAGTCTTTTTACAAGTCAAGATATTCTGAAGTACCCTTACAGAATTTCAATATTGAGCTCTCATTGATTAATGTGTTCCATTTCTCTCTTATTTTTCAAGGATAAATTCCAATGTGTTTTCACTTGCAAACTTTGTTTTCAATTAATGTAGTTCTTTCAAAGCCTCCATAACTGAAAGTTTATATGTTGACTAATTTGATCAAGGTGCTCCTATTTTTGAACAACATGCATCTAAAATTAAGAGGACTCATCTATGAAAAGATCAATATCATTGTAGAGCACTTAGATTGACTTCAAAAGGTCCAAGTATTCTAAAATCTGATAGATGGCAGGCAGCAAAGAGAGAAAGCACAGCAAGCCATGCTGAAGCATGTTTTTTTGTTTTTTGTTTTTCATTTTTATCAGCTTTGTCACAAAATGTTGACAACTATAGCTTCTACTTAAATTGGTAGAAAATCACACCTTATTTGGATCCAATTATGAATTATATATGCATCATTACCAATTCCAAGTAAATTTCTGCTTCATAGGTTTCTTAAATTAGTAAGAATGTTGTTTTTGCCATGACACTGCGTTCCACCAAAAAATATATTTGATTATCATTGTAAAGACAAGCACTATTTAGCTTCAATGTCAACATCACAAAAGTGTCCATAATAGTCTCAGATGATGCACAATTAATAAAGAAAACTTCCAAGAGCTTTATTCTGAGTCTATGACTTGGATGAGAAAAAATGGACACATTATTGTAATTAACTGATGCTCTATTTGAAGAATCTGATGACACCAAAATAAAACCTGCATTATATTACAATTTGTATAGTTTTTCTGATGGAGACAACATATAAACAGTGATTGCCTCACATGAATGAGTCTCACTCTTAATTAGGATGTAGAAAATGGTAAAAGACTGCTTCTTTTGAGGAAATACTAAGAAAACACTGGATAAAAAATTATATATTTTTAAAAAGCTATTGAAGAGCTATGGGTGCAGAGAAGTTTATATACCAGGGAGAGAGACCAATCGTTTCTAGAGGAGCACCGACCGATGGCTGATTTTACACCTGGGAGATGTTAGCTAGACAGCATATGGGTGGGCAGAGGAGTCAGTTTGCCATAGATAAAGATATTTGCCTGGAATAAAATAAGCCAAAGTTTTAATTACTGTGTGGACTGGCATGAAGGATTGGAATTTTTAAGAGTCTCAAATGCAAAACTAATTTTTGTCTGCTTATAAGCTGAGTAAGCTATGGCTAAGGGCGTGGCCAGAAAGCAGAGAGATCTCATGGTAGCATGATGCCTGGTCCCAAAGATGTGTTGGAAGGGGAGGCCCAATTTCAGCCACAAACGTTTTGGAGCCAGAGGTAAACTGAAATGAATTCAACTTGTGATCTGGCTCCAACGAATCTCAATTCCTAATGGATCAAAGTGATCAACTTTTTAGCCTAGCTGCTTGATAGAGGAAAGGATGTAAATTACCCACCCTCGTCTCTAATTTTCTTTAATACAGGATGTCTAGATTTCAATTTAAAAAAGATAGGACATGTAAAGAAGCAGGAAAATGAGCCTCATAATCAAGAGAGAAAATAGTAAAGAGAAACAGTCCCATGAATTATCCAGATGTTGAAATGAACAGAAAAGATAATATAAATTTGTTTTAAAAATTAGGGGAAAAAATAGGCAATATGGTTGGACAGATGGAGAATTTTAGTGCAGAAGTGGAAACTCTAAAGTAAAATCAAATGGAGATTTTAGAATTAAAAAAAAAACCCAATGTGAAATGAAGAATTAATTGGTTGGGCTTAATAGACTAAACTGAGCAGAATAAAGGATTAATGTGCTTAAGGACAGTCAGAAATTATTCTAACTGAAGCACAGAGAGTAAAAAGAAAAAATGAAAGAGAGCAGGGTTTTAGAAGCTATGTTATTTGGTGCACATATTTCACATATATTTTACTTATTATCTCTCATGTAACCCACTGACCCCACTGACTGGGTGGCCTGCCTGGCAGCTTTGTGTCTCTCACAGGCTAAGGCACAAATGGCCAGAAAGAGTAGCAGACTAAGAAACTTCTTCCACCACCTGATGTGGAAGGCTATTCCTAGCTGCTCATGTAAGTATTTTTATACCTGCAGCTGCTTAATTTTGTCCTTATATCAATTTAATAGTTTTTCAAAATAAAACATAGAATTGTAAGTTTAGAATTTTATATCTTTAATGAGAACTTTGGAGCATTGCTCTATTGTTTTCTAGTTTTCAGTGTTGCTGGTGAGAAGTCACATGTCAATGTGATTGCAATTCCTTTGCAGATTTTCTGGTTGTTTTTTTTTTTTCCCCTGTCTAGAACCTTTTACAATCTTCTCCTTACACTTAGAATTCCAGTTTTCATGAGAATGTGTTTGGGGTGGGTCTTTTTTCACTCATTCTATTTTACTTTTTTCTAGGATTCTTAGTAAATGGATATAAGACTTCTTAGATTAGGGCGCCTGGGTGGCTCAGTCGTTAAGCATCTGCCTTCGGCTCAGGTCATGATCCCAGGGTCCTGGGATCGAGTCCCGCATCGGGCTCCCTGTTCGGCGGGAAGACTGCTTCTCCCTCTCCCACTCCCCCTGCTTGTGTTCCTGCTCTCGCTATCCCTCTCTCTGTCAAATAAATAAATAAAATCTTAAAAAAAAAAAGACTTCTTAGATTAATCATGTATGTCTCATATTTCCCTTCATATTTTCTTCTGTCTTCTTGATATACATTCTGAGAGATTTCCTGAGCTTTAACTTTTTTTTCCCATGGGATTTTTATTTTAGCATTAACACTTACAAGAACTCATTCTTGTTCTCTAATTGCTCCATTTTAAACATAGCCTGTTCTCTTTTAAGGAACACATACCTTCTTGAATTCCACTCAAGCCACTAATTCTTTAATAATTCCTTTCTGTTCTTTGAATTTTGTTAGTTTGTTCATCCTGGTTCTTACCTTTTGTGCTATTGGTGTTCTTCAGTGCCTTGTTTGGTAGTCCGTATTTATTTATTTAAGACTGATTTATTTGAGAGAAAGAGAGGGAGGGAGCGAGAAAGCTGGGGGAGGAGGGGCAAAGGGAGAGGGAGAGAAGCAGACTCCCCATGAATGTGGTGCCCACTGCGGGGCTTGATCTCACAACCCTGAGATCATGACCTGAGCAAGAGTCTGACGCTCAACCGACTGAACCACCCAGATGCTCCAGTGGTCCATATTTATGAAGGAAGATGAGAGTGATGCACATTTGCAGTTAGTGAGATTCATTAAGACAGCTTCATTTTGCTGGGATTTCTGCTTGAACAGTTGGTTCCACTAACCTGAATATGTATATATTCTTTTAGAACTTGGGAATGCGAATTTATTTTTCATATAATTTATACATTTTCTTCATATATATATATTTTTTCTAGAATTTCCAGTAAATGCTGGCATTTCTGTCAGAGATTTCTCCTCAGAGTGGGAGTGTTCCTGAGAGCTCCCAGCATGTTGACTGGTTGCTTTTACACTGGTGTGAATAGGCTAGGAGTGGTCAGGCCAGGGGGCCCCAGCATGCCGAGCACTCATACACACCCCACCACCCTCTGATATAGGGAGGGGCAACATCATTAGATGAGGAACTGGGGCATAATGCCTGCGCTGGAATTAAGACCCCTGTGATTCTGAAGCCCAGGCTACAACATTGTGAACAACAAGAACATGGAGGCTTGAGAATGTGGGGATGGGATGATGGACAAGACTTGTGGGCTGGAGGGAGAGGGAGGCATGAAGTTGGCAGAATGGTCCTCACAGAAATGGAGACATGCGTGCTGGGGTCGGGGAGAGCTGAGCTGGGGTTGGGGGATGTCTCCTGCATGTGTGGAGGCTGACGTGAGGCATGGCGAGTACACAGGGAACAACCAGCCTCCAGAAAGAAGGGAGGAGTGAGGAGTGGAGTCTGAGTACTGCCCTCTTGGGGGCTGGGAAGGAAGAGGGAGAGCACAGGAGTGTGGGTCTTTGCTCGTTCGTTCATTCATTCATTTATCATGCTGACTGAATGTCTCTGATGTCTCAGTCTGGGCTGGGCTCTGAGGGGCACTGGAGGTGGACAGGCTGAACTCTCACCTAACACTGCCCCTTTCTTCATAACAATGGCCCATGAGACACCATCTGTGTTTAAACGAACAACAGTCACCCACATTGACCTGCAGTAAAGGTTACGATGCCCTGTCACATGTGTGAGCTCATTTGTTCCTGGCATTTACGTCTGAGTTGGAGCGTGGACTTAGGCGTTGCCCAGACTTGGGCATGACCTCAGCTCCGCTGAGTGACCTCAAGCCAGTTTCCTCATGTATAAAGTTGCGACAGTAATGTTTTTGTTACATAATTTTTCTAAGCCTTAGGTGCACCCACATGAAGTAGGATCGGGCCGCCCCCTCTCGAGGTAGCTGTGAGGATTTGTGCAGTGCCCTGTGGCCACCGTCAGTCCAGCTTACAGTTGAGGAAAGGTACAAGGGTTACGTGGCTTCCCTCCGTGTCACTGACAGACCCAGGTCCCATGGCTCTGGGTGGAGAAACTGGGACCTCCTGGATCTCAGTCTGGTGCTCCTTCCGTCTTGCCGGGTGAGCTGACAGAGCCCCGCAGAACAGCCCAGACTCCCTGTGCCAAGTGACCCGAGTCCCTCCCTGTTCTTGTGCCCACAGGGCCCGCCTGCTTCCTGGTCGGAAGAGAAGGGAGTGTGAAATCACCTTCTGAGGCAGGAGCGTGACCAATGCCAGAACCTTCAGCAGACCCGGGGAAAGGCTTTCCGCTGCGTCCTCACACCACGGCTGAGCCCTGATTGGTGGGGATGGGCTTGTTCAAGGGAAATGCGTGACCAAGGAAAGAACAGCTGAGTAGAAAAGCTGTCACCCGAGACATCCATCGTCGACTTCCAGTTCCAAGATCTGCAGCCACGGGACGGCCGGTGGTCCCAGCACACTTGGCCAAACCCACCTTCCGTGGGCAGAAGCTCTGAGCAGCCCAGCCGGCCTTGACCTCCCCACCCCATGGAGCTGGACCGCAGACACAGGCGTCCAGTCTACAGCCTCACGGCTCCCCAGAGGAACGCGTGACACAGAGCTTGCTGGCTTATCGAGCATAGTTCTGAGCCTGAACAGAAATGGATTTTGTGTCGCTCAGGCTCATCTGGAATCAGATCAGCTCCCTGCTGTCCCAGCCCTGCTGGCTGTTCTTTCGGCGCCTGCTGGACTCAGGGCGCAGGCCTGCTCTCTCCTGGGAGCTGTGGCTCACGAGCATTTCCAGCACCTTGCTTGCACGTGGTGTGCCCCCCGCGCCCCCGCAAGCCCCTAGGTAGGCAAGCCAAGGGCACATTGTGTCCATTTCACAGCAGAGCCAGGGCTCAGAAGGGCGGGAGCTTGACTTAATGCTCTTCTGCTGCCATCTTGAAATTTTAATAATCCTGTCTTTGAACTTGTGTTTTGCAAGTGAAATCTGATGGGATTGTGGAGCCTGCGCAGGAGCGGAGGAGGTCTGTCAACGCACGTGTCAGTTATTCCTTGCTGTCCTACCTGCCTACAGCATTCTCGAAGCCCCGTGAGCACAGAACTCCAGGGGGTCCCCCGAGGCACAGGAGCTCTGTGAGACTCAAAGTGAGTACAAGACACGTGTGTTACATCAAGGATGGGGTGAGCAAGGGCAATGACACCCCGAAAGGCCACACTTTGCAATCAAACCAGAACTTGCTTGGAATGCAGAAAGAAGGCAGTGGGGTTCTAGGGAACGTGAATGACCAAGGAACCCTGTCTCTTATTCTTACTCAGGTTATTTTCCTGTGTCAGCCAATCGCTTACAGAGAAAGTGAGGGCACAGAAGGAAGTGGAGACACAGGGCACCCACGGTTCCCTTTCCTCCCGTCCTCCTCACTCAGAAGGAGGGCAAAGGCACAGTGTGTGGGTGGAATGTCAAGGAGCGACATAAAAACTGTTGAGTTAGTGTAGTGTTTCTACTGTTCTGGAAAGGACGAAAATACTTTTGCGTACAAACTGCAAAATATGAAGAGTGTGATTTCGATGATTCCATATACGAGTTAAATGGCCTTATATTTGCATTTAAAACTGCCACTGCACAATACGATGTTGAATGGTGTAGTTAGAATGGCATTAAATAGCAAATAAAAACACCATGACAAGTGGAGACGGAGGGTATCGTGGAAGAAAGAAGCAAGTTTGGTATTTTAGCAATTTTTTTTTAAGATTTTATTTATATATTTGACAGAGAGAGACACAGCAACAGAGGGAATACAAGCAGGGGGAGTGGGGGAGGGAGAAGCAGGCTTCCTGCTGAGCAGGGTGCCCGATGCGGGGCTCGATCCCAGGACCCCGGGATCATGACCTGAGCCGAAGGCAGACACCCAACTACTGAGCCACCCAGGCGCCCTGGTATTTTAGCAATTTTAATGGCACTTGCCTCCTGGTTTTTGCACAAACATCCCACATTTTCATGTTGAACAAGGGGCCTTGCAATCATGAAGACAGTCCTGGTTGGGGGGTGAGGATGGGAGACAGAGAGGATGAGAAGCCCCTCGATATCTCAGTTATTCAGGGGCGACCCGGGACGCTGGTCTCTGATGGAGTCTGGGGACAGGATCCACCATGATGATGATGAAGATGATGGTGATAAGCCCACCGTATTGCGTCACGCACGAGGCACGCAGTGGCCCACTCATCTCCATGGCAACCTGGAGGCAGGGACAATTACTTTCTACCCTGCAGAGGAAGAAACCAAAGCTCTGAGGGCCTTTGCAGCCTGCCTGCATCCCTAGCTGGCAAACGGCTCAGCCAGGAACCCTGCACTGTCAAACCTTGGTCACCAATATCTCCGTTCTCCCACCTGCCGGGGAGAGCACACCTGATCCCTTGGCCTCTGTCTGATGACCTCAGGCTCCTTTTGGTAAGAAACAGGGTCATTCATTTTATTTCTTTTTTTTTTTTTTTAAGATTTTATTTATTTATTTGAGAGAGAGACTGAGAGAGGGAGAGCATGAGAGGGGGGAGGGTTGGGAGGGTCAGAGGGAGAAGCCGACTCCCTGCCGAGCAGGGAGCCCGATGCGGGACTCATCCAGGGACTCCAGGATCATGACCTGAGCCGAAGGCAGTTGCTTAACCAACTGAGCCACCCAGGCGCCCATTCATTTTATTTCTTTATAAAAATTGAATGAGAGTAATACATGATGACTAATAAACCATTTGAAGTACACAAAAGTATTTTCAAAGTACTGATAGAGAAAACCCAGCAGCTCCTCCCTGGCCCCACCCCTGTTCAGTGAATATCCTTCTAGAACTTTCTCCATGCAAGCCGGGGTTTGTTAACAGCTTTCGGGGTGCGGGGCCCAGAGTGGAAGATGCTGGATAGAGAGAACAAAGAACCCAGGCATGTGTTTTGAAAGCCAGGAAGTCAGGAGCTGTGGGGCTGTGTCCCACAGTGGTGGGCTTCTGAAAGTAGACCATGAACCAGCCTGGGTCAGGGTTTGTAAATAGCGGTCCCCCTTCCCACACATCTCCCGGAGTAGCCATGGAAGGGCATGGCTGTCTGGAGGCCCCACAGAGCTGGATCGCGGATGTCCAGGGGCCCCTACTCAGGCGTGGCACGGAAACAGCAGACTTGCCCACCTTCACACAACCACAGGGGCTGGATGCCCAGGCCCCAGGGAGGGCTGCTGTGGCCTGAAGACCCGAAATCCCCTCTGTGAATTTCCCAGAGCTCTTGTTTGACCACCCAACACAATAGTATTGGATCGCTTCCTCTCCTCTTGGGTGAGGGTTCCAAGACAAGTTTGTGTTGATTTAGGACAAATTAACAAACATGACATCTTAACGTCCAAGTGAAATAGTGATATTGAGCTGAATGACCCTGAGGTCCCGGCCAACCCTGGCTTCTTGGTAGGCCACATCTGGGGTCAGCTCTTGCCCTGGGGACCCAAAGGTGCCTCCTTCTCATGGCCCCATGTGTGCTCTCTGCCTAAGGCCCTATCCTGATGGGAGGGGGGCTGGCCCCCCTGCTCATGAGGATGCACATGGCTGTCTCATTGGGATTCCACAAGGGGAGGAGGGAGATCTGCTAACAGGTTCTTAGAGACCTGTGATTCCCTCTTGTCCCAGAGAAGACCCCCCTCTTTGGTAACAAGTGGGCTACCTGCAGCTCTGAGGTGCTTACTTGGTGGTGGCTATGGGGTCCAATCCAGGGAGCTGGTAATTTCCCAGAGCTCCTCCCAGAGACCCCAAAGGCCAAGCCAATGGCTCCATGCTGGGATCTGAACCCAGGCTCATCTGGCTCCTGGATCTAAGCTCTTGAGAGACAGGAGACAGGTGTATGCAGGCAGATATTCTGGGAAACTGGGCCCTCTGGGACTTCTTCTGGCAGCCCAGAAGGGAGCTTTTGTCACCACCATGGTGGATCGGCTTTGCTCTTGGGGTACATTTGGGCCTGGGACGTGGGCGGGGGAGCACTCCTCACAACCTGAGGCCAGCCCCCCCTTTCTTGTAACTTCATACAAGACCAGCCCCACTTGGGCTCCCAGCTACGCTGTGACTCAGACTTAATGGAATCACCATGGGGTGGCAGAAATGGCATGGTTCTGGCTGACCTCAGTTTCTTGTTTTTGGAGAATGGTAGCTAGAGTTGATTGTCCCCCGACTCTATGTCCAGATGACTCTCACAAAGCTCTTTCCCCCAGGCCAAGCCGAGAGGCCTGGTTTCCATGTTAATCCGGGGAAGAAGTCATTCAGAGAGTTTCACCAAAACACATCCCAGATCCACTTGGGCTGGGAGGGGCCACTGTACTTGCCTGCTGGGAGGCATGTTGAGATTTTTCACCTCTCGTGGCTGGAAGCAGCCTTCACTGGCGGCACCGAGGGGCTGACTCCCTGGTCAACTTTCTCGAGCGTCGATTTACCAGATGCATCAATCTCCCAGATGGTAACTAATTCAAAACAACATTTTATTAAAACAAACTAAGATATTATGAATTAAATATAAAGTCTGCGGGAACCCTGAAGATCAAACGAGATACTGCAGAAATTTCACATTTGTAGAGAGTTGCTCTGAGTTACTGCTCCCAGGAGCCCAGATTGAAGTTTACCCTCCTCTGCCTGGGATGCCCTGAGAACCAGAGAGAGGGCTGGGAATGATGACTAGCTCCTGCCCAGCACTCCAGAGTTTGCAGAGTGAGGGCACATTTTGATCTCCCTGCACCTGAAGTACCCAGGGTGGTGAATAAGCAGTATGAATGACCTTTATCCACTTTCCACAGGCAAGAGAGGGTAAGCCCAGGGTCACAGCTGGCCGTGCTCATGCCTCCCGACATGCTACCAACCTTTCTCCTCCACTTTCTCCTTTCTGGTTCTCTACTCTGGGATGCTACAGGGCTGCCTGGGGGACAGGGATGGTTGGTCCTGACTTCTTGAGGGAAGTTGCGATTTGCTGGATGGCTGCATCCCTGGCTGGGGATGAAGGCTGATTTTTGTCCCTACAGCAGAATGGGAGAAGATGGCCAGTTGACCTTTCTTCAAGGACATTGCTGCCTGAGTGCATATGGGGTGCTGGAGGATGCCACAGTGCTTCTCTTTGCCAAAGGAATGTTCTGACTTCCTTTCTGTTATCTGTACCAGGGCTCATGTGTGCATTTGGGAAGGCGTGTTGGGAACAGCTGGGTCCAGCCTTTGTCCCTCTGACCCAGCATCTTGTTCCTGTCCCATGTTCCCACCTGCTCCACACGTTGCTCCAGGGGTATGGAGGAGAAGGCAGTGGCTGGGATGGTTCTAGAAGAGGGCCACCTGTGGACTCTTGCTTTTCTTCTGGGGGTCAGGGCAAGGAGGTATTTGGTTGGTGTTTGGTCGGCTCAGGTTATATGTGGGTGCTGGGGATGGCCACGCAGTGTGTGCAGATGAAGAACGTGCAGAGGACCACGCCACAGACCCTGTCCAACCTCTGCTTGAAGATGAACGTCAAACTGGGAGGCATGAACAGCATCCTACTGCCTCAGGGGAGGCCGCCCGTGTTCCAGCAACCCATCATCTTTCTGGGGGCCGAAGTCACTCGCCCACCCGCTGGGGACAGGAAGAAGCCTTCCATCACCGCCGTCATGGGCAGCATGGATGCGCACCCCAACCGCTACTGCACCACTGTGCGGGTTCAGCTGTACCGTCAGGAGATCATCCAGGACCTGGCCACCATGGTCCGTGAGCTCCTCATCCAGTTCTACAAGTCCATGCGCTTCAAGCCCACGTGCATCATCTTCTACTGCGACGGCGTCTCCGAGGGCCAGTTCCAGCGGGTCCTCCACCATGAGTTGCTGGCCTTCTGCAAGGCATGTGTCAAGTTAGAAAAGGACTACCAGCCAGGGATCACTTTCATAGTGGTACAGAAAAGGCACCACACGCAGCTCTTCTGCACCGACAAGAATGAGAGGGTTGGGAAAAGTGGAAACATTCCAGCAGGCACAACTGTGGACATGAACATCACCCACCTGACCGAGTTTGACTTCCACCTGTGTAGTCACGCTGGCATTCAGGGAACAAGCAGGCCTTCCCACTATCACATGCTTTGGGATGACAGTCGTTTCTCTTCCAACAAGCTGCAGATTCTCACCTACTAGCTGTGTCACACCTACGTGCGCCGCACGCGATCCGTGTCCATCCCGGTGCCAGCATACTACGCCCACCTGGTGGCTTTCCGGGCGGGGTACCACCTGGTGGCCAAAGAACATGACAGTGCTGAAGGAAGCCATACCTCCAGGCAGAGTAATGGACGAGACCACCAAACGTTGGCAAAGGCAGTCCAGGTTCCTCAGGACACCTGGGCACCATGTATGTTGCTTGACATGTTTTAGTGTTTACGATTGTGTACCGAGTTGGATTCACATGAAACCAGCTACACTCAGACCAACAGATGCCCAGCCCTTCCATGACAGCCAGCATCGAACATGAGATGTCATTGATTTTAGTAGATTCTCCATTTTCCAGAATGCCTTCCGTCCCAGATTTCAAACTTGGATTTTGAACTGCAGACCTGTATAAGACTCCATTGTCGTAGGAAATACGGTTTGCCAAAATCTATAAGCTGCTTATTAAAATAGAGTCCCGTGTTTCCTAAAAAAAAAAAAAAAAGGTTATGTGTGAGAAAATAGCCCTTCATTCCACATGGGGACCTGAATTTGTTCTTCCCTCCAGCCTTGGGAGCAGCAGATCGAGGGGATGGGCAGCTCCCCTCTCTGTCCTGTCTCCCTTGGACCACATGCTTTTCTACCCATTAGAACACAGTTGCAGCAGACTTCTGGTGGGGCCTGTGATGGTGGGAGGAGAGCTCTCCAAGCCTCTGGGAAGTTGTTGGCACACAAACCATGAGCACACCCTTGCTGGGAGAAGCGTCAGCTCCTTATCCTTATAAGTGGCAATATGATCTTAGAAAGGTGAAATTAATGCTGGCAGCTAATAGGGAGGGCCCAGGGTAAGCCAGTCATGATGGCTGGCCCTTCTCAGCATTGGTACATCGCAATGGTTTTATGATGAGTTGTAATCAGTCCCATTTTACAGGTGCAAAAACCAAGGCTTACCAAGGCCTCTGCACTGTCACCTGTCAAACTCTGAGCCCTTTTCCATGAAGCTCTGCAGGCATCATTCCATTTTCATCTCTTAATGACCTTCCGGGCAAGTACTACAGTGATGTCATCCTATAGGTGGGGACACTGGGGCTCAGAGAGGCTCAGTGGTTTGCCCTAGTTATACAGCCAAGTGGTGTCCTAGAACTATACAGGCCCTAGAACTCTGCTCTGTCTGACCCCAGAGCCATTGCTCTTTACCACTGGGCAGGTGGGGTGCTCTGGGGAAGGAATATTCTTGCAATCAAGGGGCCAAAGCAGCTGAGATCACAAGACAGGGGTGATGCACAGGCCATGATTCCATCATCCACCCTCTACTGGTCATGGAGTAGAGGTCATATCCCCACTGCTTAGGAAAGGCTGAGCCATCACATTGTGGTGGGCAGCGCATGAAGCAGTGCTGGGCACTTGATCAGCCTGTCCATGCATGGCCAGGGGCTGGCTGTGAGCCTGTGGCTTCCTGTTGAGTTGAAAAGCCATGTCTAGGCTTCTCCCCAGGCCTCCAAAGAAGCACAATAACCTAGGCAATGTGATTTTTCTATCGTTAAATTGCTACATTGTCATCTTTTCAATAAAAATGACATACTAGCATTTCTCTGTTCTCTTAGAAATTCATCACGCACCTAGGAAATACAGAGATAGCCAAGAGCATTCAGAGCCCTTTGCTTTGCATGTCAATTCATTGCTTCATTCACCCAAATGTCCTTGCTTGGGGGCTGGGGTCCTCAGGCCTGTCCTCAGGGAACTCACAGTCTACCGGGGAGATGTAGAAGTATCTTGGGCAGCTCTAAAACTACACCTGTATTGATTGATTGACTTATTAACTGGTTCAATGAATATTTATTGAGGATCTATTATGTGTAGGAAATTGATTTTTAAATTATTCATATTTTGCATTCCTTTATTGGTTTTAGAATTGTAAAGTGCCTTGTGATATGTTCTATAAAAACCCAACAGACTTGTGACCTTGTTCACTTCTAGAATAAAGATCATCTTCTACAAATCGAAATCTAGACTGAGGGTTTGAGCATGCTCTATATGTCATGTTTTGAGTGTAAGCGAGAAGCATCCTGGTGTTTCTCCACCCTGGCTATGAATTAGAATCATCTGGGGTGGGAGGTTTATAAAGGGTCCATGCCGTTGTCTGGGCCTTACACCTATCGCTTCTGATTTCATAGGTTTGAGGTGGGGCTCTGGGAGAAAGCTGTCTTGTAAGACTCCCCGGGTGACTTTCCTGGGCAGCCATACCGTGAACCATTGGTCTATGCCAGTGGCTCTTAACCTTAGCTACACATTAGAATCTCCTGGAGAGTATTAAAAGGTCCCATGCCAAGGCTGCACCCAGTCTGCTAAGTCAGAACATCTGGGGGGTGGCACCCCACCACCAATGTATGTTAAAGCTCCCCAGATGATTCCAATGTGCAGCCAAGATTGAGAGGCTCTGGTCTGCTCCAATTTTATTTTATTTTTATTTTTTAAAAATTTATTTATTTATTTATTTTATTTATTTGAGAGAGGGAGAGTGAGTGAGACAGAGGGGGCGGGGAGAGAATCTGAAGCAGACTCTGCACTGCGCACAGAGCCCGATGTGGAGCTTGATCTCCCAACTGCAAGATCGTGACCTGAGCTGAAACCAAGAGTTGGATGCTCAACCGCTTGAACCACCCAGGTGCCCCAGTCTGCTCCTATTTTCTGTTCACAAACGAGTTGAGGATGGCATCACAGAGGCTGTGAGATTGGAGCTGGGTTTTGAAGGATGAATAGGAGTTTGCTAGGATACTCTAGAAGAAGATGGGGCACTTGCAGGTGGAGAAACCAGCGTGTGCAAAGGCAGCAGAACAGGAAGGAGAGAGGAGGATTTGAGATGCAATGTGACTAGAGCAGCATCAGGGAGGCTACACAGGCAGGAGGAAAACAAGCTGCAAGCCAGACTCGTGACCCCGTGGCTCTGGCTCTGCCTGAGGAGTCCAGGTAGGAAGTGACTGGACCTGTTTGTGTTATGAACATCCTTGTTGGTGATGGAAGGCCTGGAGGGAAGGCTGGAGGTGGCGAGACCAAAAAAGAATTTGTTTCAAAAGCCTCAATGGGAGTTAGAGAGGCCCCAGACCAAGGTGGTGGCCAGGGGGTGAAGGAGAACATGCATTCTGGAGACACTTCCAAGGGGCTGGGTGGGTTTGAAATGTGTCTGCAAATTCTATAATATGCTTCCCATGGAGAGGTAGCATTGATATCCCCTCTCCCTTGAAGTGGGAGGACAATATTTTAATGAGGATTTGCTGCAAAATGTCAAGGGGGCATGCAGAGCTCTTTGATGAAGGGGCAGAGGTGCACTTGTCTAACTTGATGATTTGGGGAGGGACATGGATATTGGCCACCATGGAGCTCCCATACCCTTTGGACACCTCCAGCCAGTGACCCATAGGCATCTCTGATCCCACAGGTCCGAAGTGAGCAAGAAGCATGGGGTTATCTCTCACTCCCCCTTCTTCCTCAGCCCTATATCTGGCTGGTCGCCAAGTCCCAGGGTCCATCTCTTCCAGTGACCACAGTGATAGTCATTTAATTTCATCCAGGGATTGGATTCTGTAAGACAGGAGTCCAGGTGGGACAGCTTGTCTCTGCTCCACAGCATCTGGGGCCCCAGCTGTGGAGACTCAAGGCTGAAGTGTAGAACCATCTAGAAGGCATCTTCAATTACATGTCTGGTAAGTGATGCTAAAGTCATCTGGGACCTCAACTACATCTGTTGGGTGGAGCATGCTTTTATACATGGCCTCTTCCATGGCCTGGGCTTTTTTCCGGCATGGCAGCCTCAGGGTAGTCAGATTTTTCTCAGTGGATATTCAGGGCTCCAGAGGTGAGTGTCCTAAGAGAACCAGGACCTAGCTTCAGAAGTAATGCACTGTCACATCCACTGCATTCTGGTACCTAGAAGTTTGGCCTGAATTCACATTAAGTGAGGCAGCAGATCCTATGTGGCTGGGTCCCGTGGTTCCCATGATCCTTGTGGTTCCTTTGGTCCCCGTGGCCTCTGTAGTCCCTGAGGTTCCCATGGTCCCTGTGCTTCCTGTGGTTCCCATGGTCTCTGTGGTCTTATGGTTCCTCATAGTTCCTAAGGTTCCCATGGTCCTTGTGGTTCCTATGGTTCCCATGGCTTCCATTGTCCCTGTGGTTCCTGTGGTGTCATGGTTCCCATGGTCCCCATGGTTCCCGTGGTCTCTGTGTGCCATGGTTCCCGTGGTCTCTGTGGTTCCTGTGACTGAGGCCCAGCCAGACCCAGGGTGGGAAGGGTTTCTGGTTGCTGGTTGTGTTTAAGGGCCAGCCATAGAGCTTTGGGGAAACTTTCCAGGTAGGTTCAGCTCAGAGCAGGGAGGGGCCTGGTGGGGCTAGGTGCTGGGAAGGAGACCAGGCCCAGGACCAGACCCTTAGCCTCTCCATCCAACCTTGTGGCCCAAGGGCATTTTGAAGAGGCCTAAAAACCAAGCCCTTAAATCACTCAACTTTCTTTTTATTACCAAGTATGATGAAAGGTAAAATCCTCACCTGACCTGATGGCTTACCTTGGGGTGGTATCTGGGCACACAGAGTGGGGGTCAAAGACGGGCCGGCGTCCGTGTGGACTGTTGGCCACAGAGCTGGATGCAGTGGCTCACTGGCCACATCCAACCAGCCTATCCAAGCCTTGCTTTGCCTATCAGGGGTGTGTTGTGTGTGGGTCTGTGTGACGGTATGTGTGTCAGTGGGTGTATATGTTTATGTGCATGTCTGTGTGTCCTTGTGTCTGTGTGTGTGTATCTGAATTGATGGGTCAGTGTATTGTGTCTGCATGTGGATGTATGACATGTGTGTGCATGTGTGTCCGATTCTGAGTGTGTGTGTGTGTGTGGGGTGAGTGTCAGAGTGTATACACGTGTGTGCGTGCATGTGTGTAGTTTCTCTGAACTCCCCCAGGCGTCCTGACTAGTGCGAAGAGGCGTTCTCTCCCTGTTGGGCTGAGCGGACCGCTGTGCGTGGTGATGGTTGATGGGTGCTGTATCATCCTCCTGACAGCTTCAGTGTGCGTACCTCTCTCATCCCCCCTGCCCGGGTGGGCCCGCGGGGGTCCAGAGGAGCTCAGGAGCTCCCCCACCTTCCTGAACGCTGAGGGGCTGATCTGGGTTGTTTGACTCCAGAGCCCGATGCTTGGCCATGCTAACTCACAGAGCCAGGCGTACCCTGCTACCCAGGAAGGAAGCCTGGACAGCTGCTCCAGGCCAGAGAGCAGGCCCTTTGATCACATTCCAGTGCTGGAGTCCTGCCTCGGCTGGCATCTCTGCCCAAAGCCTCCCTGTCCCCTTACAGGACCCTCCACACAGACCCACAAACTCAATGCTGCAAGGGCCTCCTTGGGCGCCCAGCAACCGCCGAGAAGCTGAGTAAGGCAAAGCCCCCACAGGCCTCATGCGGGGGAGATTGACTGCCCGCCCCACCGGGGGTTTAAGCGGTGGGTGGTAGATGGTCCTTGTGCTTGCAGAGTCCGGCAGCCTGGCCCTGGGCCAGGCCTCGGTGTCCCTTCACGGTGGACACACCTGGGTCAATAGAGCGAGATGGAGAGGACAGCCGATTCCAAGATGTCACTTTGCTGCTGAAATATGCTGATTTAAAAGAATCAAAGAGAGTGGTTTATTTATTGCCCAAGTCATTTGAAATGGAATTAGGTACCTAAATCAAATTTGCTATGGCTTCTTTTTTAACGGCCTCCAGAACACGGAGTTTGCATTAACTCTGTGTACACGCAGAAACCTAAGCTCGTAGAGGAAGCTAGGTCCAGACGGGCCTCCGAGTCAAGCAATGAATTCAACCTGTTCATTTAATACTATCAAATGGCCTGAATATATCATAATACAGTAGGACTTGATAGCACCTCACCTTTACTGGAGAACTTCTAATTGTAACGTGGGGGTCGATCCTCCCAGTGGTTTTGGGATCAGGACGGGCAGGTTTCTCAGCCCCAAGCTGCAGGGAAGGAAGCGGGGGCTCCGACATTAGGGGGCCTGGCTGGTTTGCGCAGTCGAGGATGGGGGCTGCCATCCCCCCAGGTCAGCCTGCTCCAAATCCAGGATACCTTCTCCAATCGGATGATACTATTCATGATCATGCAGATCATTCTAGGTGGTTATATTCGGTCACCAGGATCAAGAGTGGGAGGGGGTGTGAGTTTGGGAAACAAACCCCACCCTGAACTCCCCCGACCCCCAGTACTATTGCGAGTATTGGGGGATGAGGGGTAGGGTTGCTAGAGAGAAGAGGGGACACCAGCTTAAAGCTGCATTTCAGATGAACTGGGAAATATTGCATGCACCATAAATAAAAATTTATTTGTTGTTTATCGGAAATAAAAATTTCACTAGGCATCTTGTGTTTGCTCGTGTTTGCTGACTCCGGCACCCTGAGGTGGGGAGGAGTCCCCTCTTGCTACTTGTTCCCTCTCAATCTCTGGAACCTTTCTCTGTCCTGGCCACTGGGCCCCATTTGCCAGGTCAGCTCTCGAAGGGGAGGCGTGGATCCCCCCCTTCTCAAGGAGGATGACTTGATCACAGAGGGGAAGTTGGGGGGCTCTGCAGATGTACATGGATTCAGCTCTTGTGGTCATGGCTGGCCGACCCCCTCTTTGCCACCCGTCGGCAGCCCAACCCTCTGGAGAGAAGTCAGGTAAGGCCTGGCTTAGTTTGGGCAGGTCCCTTCACTTCTCCGTGCCTGGTTTCCTCATCTGCAAAAGGGGGGTGATGACAGCACCTGCCCTCCCAGGGTTGTGCTGGGGAGCAGATGTGCCCTTATTAGAAATGCTCTTGGCAGGTGCCTGGAAAGCTTGTTAAGTAGCACGAACCACATGGGACCAGGCCGGATGCCCTGACTGTGGAGCCGGGAGAGGAGCGGAACCCGGGGAACAGAACCCAGAGTCCCAGCCAGCCCGGGGGAGGGGTGACAGATGACAGATGATGTAGGATTACTGGGAATGCATACTTGTCTTTGCTCCGGAGACGTTATTTATATGTATTTTAAAAGAACTGCGATACCGGCCGTTCACCTGCTTCCTGGAATTCTGGGTTTGGAGGGGTCTCCTTAGGGCTGGTGGCAGTCTCTCCACCGAGGAAGCACTTGTTGGGTAGGAACGGACTTAAAGCCTCTGAGATGCTGACCATCATTCCAGCCCCGGGACCTGTCCCAACATCCGGCACCCAGTAGGGTGTGAGCCCCTGGGGCAGGGGACAGGTCGAAGTCGCCCCAGGGCCCTGCGTGGTGTCTGGCTGCCCTGTGAACCCCCCGACGTTTGCTGACAGAGTGGAGGGAAAATGGGTGGTCTGAATGGACTCTGCATGGCTTGGGATAAAGTCCAGGACAAAGAGCTCTCCTGGAGGGAGTGGGGGAGGCAAGTGTCCTCCGTGGAGGCCCCCTCGTGGCATGACTGTCCGTCCCCACTAGCTCCGCGTCGCTTTCCCTGACAGCCTGAGATGCCACACAATCAGGTCCCTGGCCGGGGATTACTGGCCCTCAGCCACAGGTACTTTTTTTCCTTTAAGTAGAAGGGCTGTCAGCAGAGACGACGGAGGCGAGATGAGACAGTGGCTTTATGATAACAAACCAGGCACAAAAAATGGCACTTTCTCACCATTTCGTGTGTAATTCCTCATCGAATCCCCACAACAGTATTGCAAGGTTGGTTTTATTATCTTTTTTAATTAAAAAATTTTTTTTTGAGAGAGAGAGAGAGCGTGAGCGGGAGGGGCAGAGGGAGAGGGAGA